CCCCAGGGTGGGGTGGGGTGGGGGGATAGTCCCAGGGTGCAGTGCCCCAGGATAGGGTGGGAAATGGTTCAGCTGTGGTAGTGGGAGGATATCCTTGGGGGTAGCCCCAGGGGAAGGGAGACTAGACAAGGGGGAAATGTGCGCCCCCATATTGAAAGGGAAGGAGTTGTGCAGGGAGGGGGGTCTCCATCCCCACACTGAGGGTGGAGGTCAGGCCAGGGGGTGCAGCGCTCCTCAGCACCCTAATGTAGAGCGCACTGTGCCATCCATCGCTGTGGTAGTGGGAGGATATCCTTGGGGGTAGCCCCAGGGGAAGGGAGACTAGACAAGGGGGAAATGTGCGCCCCCATATTGAAAGGGAAGGAGTTGTGCAGGGAGGGGGGTCTCCATCCCCACACTGAGGGTGGAGGTCAGGCCAGGGGGTGCAGCGCTCCTCAGCACCCTAATGTAGAGCGCACTGTGCCATCCATCTTCCTCCCCCATGGAAATAACTGAAGTAGCTGCGATCTGCCAGGGGTACTTTCACTGTGGCTGTCCAGTGTGTGCTGGACACTCTGTTACAGTGAGACCCTGTTATCTCACTGGCCTGACACTCTGCTTTCTATTCTGTTCTAATTCATCAGTACATTGCCTGTTTTCTGCTTCTTACTGCCTTTTGTAAGGTGTCTCCAAATGGGACATCCGGGAGAAGATCTGGGATTATATGGAAGCAAATAACCTGGCAGATTTCCCAAGACCAGTGCATCACCGGATCCCCAATTTCAAGGTATGGGATTGCAGTTTCTCAGAAATGAATAATCTGCCTTTCAGTCATAAGACAAACTAAACATTCTCTTAGCTGGAAATCCACTTATTTTTAAATGGCATGTTGTATGTATGGAAAATCAGGTACAACTGGGGCATTCTTCTGATGTATCTGAGAAAATGATTGTCAATCATGCATCCCAGCATATGGTATGGTTATTCACTATTGGTTGGCGGGAAAATTTTGAATAATAATTGGCAAATATAATTGGAAAATGTGAGGGTTGTACGGTTCATTTTCCTAAATACTGAATGGGATAATATGGAGTACTTACATAAGGCTTTTTATCAGTAGATTTCAAAATGCTTTACAGAAGTGGTCAGAATCATTACCCCCATTTTACCGATAGGGAAATAGCCAGGGCACCACTGTGCTTCAAAGGTCCTCCAGCAAACCAGTGGTAGGGATAAGAATAGAATTTAGGTCCCCTAAGTCCCGGTCGCTGTGTTTTTTTCCCCCTAGATACTGTCTATAATGTGCTGCTGATTGCGTAGTGATTCAGTCCGAGGTACGTTGATATAACTGGGTTGTGGCGGCCAAGCTGTATTTTCTGCATAGGGACACTGCAGCTGTAATGCTCCTTGGTCACAGGGCAGTGGAGGAGGAGTGTGTGGTCAGAAGTGGCACTTAACGTACTAATAAACATCAGAGCATGTCCAGCACTAGCTCCCAAATGCATAAAGGTGCAGGGCCATCGCTGTTTTATCCACCTGCCTAGTGACTTGTTTGGATGTCCAGTCATTCTCAGGGAGCAATGGCTGTAGCATTGTGGGTGTTCTGAATAGGAGAAAGCTCTTTCCATCCTCTAGAACTCCTGCACGGTGCATGTGGCCTCTAGACATTAAGAGCTGGATTACAACAAATTACAGTTCTGCTTGGAGGAATTAGGTGTACTAAGCCCCCAGGCTTCCTAGCATTGGTATCATGGATAGCAGCACAAGGGAGAGAACGGCTGCCACCAAGCCGTTGCTTGGTGCTTTGACCTGAATTATCAATGGGATGTTCAATGGGAGCAAGAGTTGCGGGGACCCATCGAGTGCCATGAGACACTTGGATTTTAGTCTGGGTGGTTGTGTGTAGTTGAAACATCACCAACTTAGTATGAAGCTCTCGGTCCAGCAGGTCAGCATTAGAAGTAGGGAAATAAATTGCGTGGCTTGGCAAAAAGTAAGGATGTGAAAGGTTAACCAGTTCCAGTTAACTGCTCCAGCCTCACAGGGGGCCTGCTGCTGGTGGGCTGCTCTCACCTGTAGCAGTCCCTATCCGGAGGTAGGGGCTGTGCTGGTGTCCGGAGCAGCCTTCGTTTGTGGGGAGGCCCACCCAGGGGCTGCTCTGGTGGGGGCTGTGAGCCAGGAGCAAGCAGCAGCCCCTGCCTACCCCCCCCCCCCCCCCCCCCCCCTCAGCCAACCCCAATGCGAGGCTGGGAGCCCTGCATGCTGGGGCGTGCTCCAGCTGGGTTAGAGTGGTCCCCCACTTGGCTCCCGCTTAGCTAACCAGTTAAATGTTAGGCTAAACTAATGTGTAACCGGTTAACTGATTAACCGGGATTTTACATCCCTAACGGAAGGTGGGAGTTGTCCCCTCAGCTCTGGAGGGTTGTGTCCAGCCTGATGACGTGCTGATGTCTCCTAAAACCAGGGTGCGTCGCAGGCCGCAACAGGGCTCCCCGATTTACAGGCGTTCAAAACTGCCAAGACCATTAAAGTAAACCCTGATGCTCCCCAGAGGACTGCTCGCTTTCTCACGCTGGAAGTAAGTAACAGTGGGCCTCGTTCTTTTCCTTTTTAAACCGTTCTGTCGATGCAGGGCTCTCACCGGGCTTGCCAGGCTGTCCAAGAGCTTGAAGTGTTCCACAGAACAAGTGAGGTCAAAGTGGACCCTGACAAACCTTTAGAAGGAGTTCGGCTAGCGGCATTACAGGTAACAGACGCTCTCCCCGAGAGAGGGTGATGGAACCTCCCGGGCTTCAGTAGATCGTTTTGTCAAAGGCATTTGTGCGCCAGTCACATGAGAGCTTTACCAATATGTGGTGTTGCCACTTGTACAAATGGCGAAACTGAGGCACGCAGCAAGTTGGTGGGAGAGGTTGGAATAGAACACAGGAAAGCCAGGCCTCTGTTCTCACCACTAGATCCTCCCTCTCTCTTTCACGACACTTTTCGCAGCGGAATGAAAATATTCTCTGTATAGCAGTCAGTATTCAGGGTACAGCTGTGGGTTAAAAATGCCTTCAGAAAGCTCCCATGACGTTGTGGCATGTTGTATTTAAAGCCCTGTATGGATACGAATGTTTACCTGTGGATGTGGATACACGCGGACAGACATCGGGATCTGCAGATCTGTAGGTCTCTACTCCCAAGAGCCACTGTGGCCAACTCAGAGGAATGTCTCCTGTCTGGGGCTGTACAGCCCTGCTGATGATAAGGCTGGTGGCAATACAGCTGCACAGCTATGAGGAGTTGCTGCCTCAGGGCGCTGGCTCCCAGGTGAGATAGGCCCACGTGCCTCTCAGTTGCCCACAGTATCTCTTAAGAGTGAAGTGGAGGACACCAATATCTAATGGGTCGACATTTGTATCTGTAAGGAGCTCCAGTTGTGATACAGACTTGCAAAAGCCTAAATAAATAAAATCCAGGTTGAATTGCATCCATAACTTAATGGACCATCTCTTAATGTACCGCAATTCACATTAGGGATGTGAATGATTAACCAGTTAAGGCTCATCTTTAATGGTTCCAATTAACTGTTGGGGGGCTGGAGCAGCTCCTCACAGGAGACTGGGCAGGAGACTGCTTCAGCTCCATAGGGCCTGCTGCAGGTAGTGGGGCACTCCAGCCTGGCTAGAATAGCCCCTGTTAGCGTTGAACCAGTTAACCAATTAAACAGGATTTTACATTCCTATTTCACGTTGACTGTCTGGGACCAGCACATGATGGAAACTAGATTCTTTCCCTGGCTTCGTTGAGAATGATCTTACAATTTAGATTAATTTTTCCAGTGTCTTGGTCATCTTTGGAATGAATAAACTTCTCTGATGTCATTGTCCTGCGTATGGGAAAGGCTTAATTTCCAAGTATTAAGAATGATTTATGTGTACAAAGATAATTCTGTTTATTTGTCCAGAGGAGCATTGGTCTTTGTGCTCAAACACATGACAATAAAGGATTTTCCCCCCTGTATATTTAAAGAAAAATAAGCCTGTCCCCTAATTCTGGCTAATTGTTGATGGATTTCTATTATCACAGGCAAGGAAAACTTTGCTGGTTCCAACACCGCGACTGAGAACTGGGCTGTTTAATAAAATTGTCCCACCACCAGGAGCAACTAAAGAGATCTTGAGAATATGTTCAACTTCTCAAGTAGGTATCAGAAAGGGCGGGAGGACTAATTCAGAAGAGAGGAGTGGTGGCCTTATAGGAAAGATACTATACTGGGGCTACAGAGATCTTCTCTATGTAGCTGTGGAAAAATCACTTAATCTTTGCATGTCAGACAGGGAAGGTAACACGTAATTTCTGTGTTGCGTCTTTTATCTTGTAAATTGTTCAGTGGTGGACTAACTCTTGCTAGATAAATGTGTAACTAGAACAATTGGTCCCCAACTTCCAGACATTGCCACAGCACAAATAACAAGAGAAAGGGAGAACCTAAAAGTTGTTGTCAGGGATAGGCATAAGGATCTGATGCAAAACAGAGGTTTTATGCAAAAAGGAAACGTCCACACTGCTTGTTTTTACACAAAAATCCCTTGCGCAAAAAGAAACAGCAGGAAATATGCAAATGAGATTGACTCATGCAAATGAGTCCCTCATTAGCGTATTTTCTGCCAAAAAATCTCGTAGTGTAAACGTAGCCTTGTTGTTTTCACTTTCATACATTCCCTGTTTGGGCCTGTTTGTATGAAATAACACAGAGAAGATAATTCTCACAATAATGCTAGAAGCTGGACCTTTCAGGCCTGCTACCAGATAGTTGATGATCAAAGGATTTCGTCTTTTGCTTTGCCTTCCCAAAATGTGTGGCTAAGCTCGAAATAAACCTCAACATTTTGTGTATTCCTCTAAACCAAAACTGTTTAGAGATGCACATTTATTTTGCTTTTTTGGAGGGGCACGGGGTGTTCTTTGTTTAACTAAAACTGAACTGATGCAGAAATATCTATTCTCAATGGCTTTATTCACCAGGATCATTGCAATAATGCTTCAGAGGCTGTATTTACGCACTTAAAAACCTCAGAGTCTGATGCTTAATGTTTCTTTCTTCTCTTGCACAGTTGAACATCTGTGCTTTGAAAACCTAGATGGGAGAGTATTTAATGTTTTTCACTTGTTGCTTAATCAGGTTAATAAAATGGTTAGGGTGGTTCATACTTTTGGGGGTGAGATAAACAAGGGGCAGATCTTTTACCCTTTGGGCTCTAAAGAAATGAACAAAATGCATCCATATTAACTAGTTTCAGTCACTCAGTCGATGTGCAGAAAAGTCAATTCTGAGTGAATTATTTTTTATTAATTGTAAAGTGGTACTTTGCTGCCCCCTACTGTACAAATGTCATATTTCATAGGTGAGTGAGTGTGCCGCAGAAATCAGTATTATTTTGTCTGTTTCTAGTATTTAAAACAAAAGTATAGCATTTTTGAGTGACTTGGCCAACCATAGCTAGAGGTGAGGAAAGGAATGCAATTTGGCTTTGTCTACATTGCCAGTTATTGTGACAGAAAATATGCTAAAAATATCCCGGAGAGGCATAAAGATCTTGAACAAAAGGGGTAGAAATGTAGCTGTGTCAGTCTGGTGCAACAAAAAGGGCTATACTGCTTCTTTTTGCGCAAAAACCCCTTGCACAAAAAGAATCGGCAGAAAATATGCTAAGGATGTCGTGACTCATGCTAATGAGTTCCTCATTAACATATTTTCTGCCGCAAAAACTGGCAGTGTAGACATAGCCTTTGAAGACATCAAGCCAAACACAGATTGCTACATGAGCTTAACTTATGTTAAGGATTCTATTAAGACTGTTAATTTATTAAAATTGCTAAGAGTTGGAAGTTCTGCCATCTATCATTAAAAGATATGTTTCTCTTGACCTGCTGCCCAATCTCATATCTGGCCTATGACCTTTCTGACATGTCAGTAGTATTTTTCAGGCAGCCTTGTACTAGTGAATAAAGTCATAATGTGTATCGTGCAGCTTGCATGTACAAAACATAATACAGTCCCCACCACACTTCTGGGAGATGGGCAAGTAAATATTATTCTCTCCATTTTGAAGATGAAGAAACTCAGTCACAAAGAGCTCATCTTCTCTGGCCTTATTTTACAATAGGCTATAAGCATTTGTTTTTTCTTGTGGGTGTCAACCTAACATAAAGAACAAAGGTTTGCCACCTGGATCAAATATGTGATGAGTATCCACCTGATCTTTTACAAATAGGAGAATTACCTTTGAGTTAATCCTGAAGTAAAAATATTTAGCAAAGACCAAACTAAAGAAGTGAAACCCCATGTTTTGAGTGCCTCCCATTTTTGGATGTCCAAGTTGAGACCTCTGATTTTCAGAGTTGTGGAGTGAATCTGTCTTAAACAGATGCTGTAGAGAGAAGAGGGGATAAAAAGCTGTTAATGACTATGGGCTGCAACGCGTACTTACATTTCCTACGCTCTGAACTAGAAGGGTTTACTCTTGGTATCTCAGCTTGAGACCTTTGCATCAGAGACTATGCAGACATCAAAATATGACAAGGAATGAAAGTTCAGGCGAAAGTGCAGGTCATACTAGAACGTTCATTAAGGGATAACGTATGTAGAAAGGGACTGTCTTGTGGCTAATGTATAAGACAGGCAGCCAGGTGTTCCAGATTCTATCTGTGGCTCTGCTACAGACGGAGCTTTTTTTATAACCTTGGGAAAATAGTTTAGAGTTTGTCTACACATGAAAATTAATCCAGAGTAAGGTAGCATGTGAATTAAAAGTGAATTAACTATTCCTGATGAACTCTGGCTTAGTCTATACTTAAAAATTAGATTGCCCTGGCTTTGTTGTTCAGGGCTGGGAATGGTTTCACTGCTGAGAGCTGTCATTAGGTGGACCTTATCCCCGATGCCAGAAGAATTGGTCCATTGACCTGACTTCTGATGGATTAACTACCTTGACAGAAAAGCCTCTTTTGCCAACACAGGAAGCGTCCATGCTATGGTGCTACAGTATAGCTGCAGCACTGTAGTTGTGCTGCTGTAGCATGAACATGCCCTATCTATGTGGACACGCTTATGCTGCTCAGATGGCCCCAGGGCCAACCATACCAACCACTGCTCAAGTGATCCTCAGCAGCAGTCCCTGGACAGCTGGACGAAGCAGCTGCAGTCTGTGGCCTCAGTCACTGTTTCCCAGGTAGCCAGCCGGAGCAGCTGGAGCCCCTTGGCAACTGGCCCTGGGTGCCCCATTCCCCCAACAGTGCCCTGCCCCTCTCCCCCCAAGATTTAGTCACAGGTATTTTTAGTAACAGTCACAGACAAGTCACAGGCTGCGAATTTTGTTTTGTTTCTTGCCCATGACCTGTCCATAGTGATTGCTAAAAGTGCCCCTGACTAAATCGTAGCCTTAATCACAAATAACTCCCCATGTAGACATGCCTGTAATGCTCTTCAGCTGTCCCATTTGTAAGCTGACATTCACACCTCCCTGTTTCACAGAAGGATTGCGAGGGATAATGTGTTAACAACTTTTAAAGCACTTTGCAATCCTGCTGGGGCTGGGGTGGGCAATACTCCAAGATTTTAGTAAATGATCAAGGGCTGCACTTTCCTAAGGAGGAGATGTGGGTCCTGGGACAGAGGTTGGGTGCAGAAGGGAGCTCAGGGTAGGGAATTGGGGTGCAGGAGAGGGTGTGGGGTTTGAGTGAAGGAGAGGTTGTGATCCTGGGCAGGAGTTTGGGGTGCAGGGTCTGGGAGAGGACATGGGTGCAGGAGAGGATTGCTGTAGGAGGGGGTGTAAAGTC